TGGTGCTCTTGGTGTTCGCGGTCTGCGTGGTGTACGCTGCCCATTTCCGTCAGGTACCACCACCACCACCACGACAGCACTGGCCGACTGGCAAGAACCGTGCGTGCTGCCACCGCCGAATGGAATCATTCTGCCCTCAATTACCCATTCGAAATTGCGCTGACCATCGCCTATAGTCTGTTTGCAGATTACTTACAAATTACCCATAGCTGATTGGTGTTCTCTTGCCACTGCCAACTGATAATAATGGTCGTAATATTGCAGGCGCAGAATTTGACGAGTTCGGTCAGCTAGCGGGTGGTTTGTCTCACTTTGCCCTGTCTCTCTCTCTTCTTTCTGATCTTCTCCCTTCTCCGTCAATGTTTACCATTGTCTTTAAATCACTTGTTTTTATTGCCACTTTACTGATTGCACCTTTCCCTCTCTTTTTCCTTCTCGCTGTGTTTGTTTGCAGTAAGGCGCTGTGCTGCAAGATGAGCGTCGAATTTGACTCCTTTCTGGCGAGTGGTCGCAAGTGGTGGTGCCACTTTGACGACGATAACTATGTCAACATTCCTCGACTGGTGGAGCTGCTGAGGACGTTTAGTCCGCTGGACGACTGGTATCTCGGCAAACCCAGTGTCCGACAGCCGTTGGAAATTGAGGACAGAGACGCCAAGGTAAGTGCAACACAGTCAACTGATAAGTTTTTGCAGTTCTTTCAAAGCTCACTTTTTCCCTTTTCTTTTGCAGAAAAAAGTTCACTTTTCCTTTGCCACTGGTGGCGCCGGATTCTGTGTGAGCCGAGCGCTGGCGCTCAAAATGGTTCCCATTGCGAGGTTAGTTTCCGGCGTGTAGTGAACTTCACGTCAACCAACTGAGCGATCCTATCGGCATCGACTTAATTGGGTGCCTTCGCAGCCATAGCTGCCTTATCACTGTCGGTGCATCTTCTAACGACAATTCTTTCTACTCCCTTTACTTCACTTTGAACACCACCAGTGACGGCAAGCTGATTTCAGTGGGGGAGAAGATTCGCCTGCCGGACGACGTCACCGTGGGCTACATCATCGAGCACATGCTCGCCAAGAAGTTGACTGTGATTGACGCCTTTCACTCGCACTTGGAGCCAATGGCGCTGCTGCCCAAGAGCAGCCTGGATGGTCAAGTAAGTTAACAGTAGTTGCGGGTGGTAGTTCACCAGAGCAAGCACCGCGCTAATAAGACTCGTTCATTCATAACTTTCACCTGTCGACTGGTGACTTCCGCTGAGCACTTGTCACACTCCAGTGAGCACAAGCTCTCCAGTGTCAACTGTCACCAGAAGGCGGACGCGCAGACCACCAGACGCTAATCGGTTTTTCTTTTTTCCTTCTCCAGGTTTCATTCAGCTACTCGGGAAACGGCAGCAATCGCAATGTTCTTTCCATAAAGAAATCAGCTCTTAAACGCAGTGATCCGACGAGGTAAGGCACAGAATGTACACTCCACTGGGACCACCTTCTAACCGTTTTTCTTTTGTCCTGTAGGTTTTACAGTTTGCACTGTCGCCTTTTTCCGGAGTTTTGTAAATACTGATTGTGATTCCTCACTCTGTGCCTTCATTTTTCACCAATCTGTGACCACATTTGCTCATTTTTTCTTGTACATATCGTTCTTTTACTTGTTACTGTTACTCTTTATTGTTTTGTTGTCTCTGTGCAGACTTTTATATACTCGCAAATTGAAATGTTGATTCATTTTGCACACTTGTTATTTTTTGATATATTTTTGCTCAACGTTATTAAAAAATTTTAAAATTAAATACTTCTGTGTCTTTTACTTTTGCACAATCTAATGAAAACAAAATGAAAATTGAATTTCAAATTCTCCACTGAACAAGTAACGCCATCTGAAGGCTCTCTGTGGTGACTTGTGTCTCTTTTCTACGAGTGAAATTCACTTTGCACAGTGTACAAGTTGGCAAACTCAAACTCAGCCGGTGAGTAGTGCATCGCATCGGGTCCTCTTCATCGCCAAACACAGGTCTTGTAGCGCTTTGCACCTCTCAGTAGTCCATTTCTGAAGTTCGCCTGACTATCATTGACAATGGCCAACGTTCCTGAGCTTACGAGGGAGGACACGGCGAAGGTGCTCAACAAACTTCGAGCTCAGCTGCCCAACAAAGTATGTGCTGCTCTGTGCAGTTTTTGACCACGTCACGTATTTGCATCCTCGCCATTCAGCTGCTAATTTTTCGTTCTTATCTCTTCTCTAGACGTGCTTTGACTGTGGTAGCAAAAATCCCTCCTGGGCCAGTGTAACCTATGGAATCTTCATCTGCATCGACTGCTCAGCGGTTCACCGGTCTCTGGGTGTGCATCTTACCTTTGTACGGTCTACAACATTGGACACCCTTTGGAACTGGTCCCAGCTAAGGGCAATGCAGTTGGGAGGCAACGGCAATGCAGTAAGAACTATAAACCCTTTTATCACTTTTATTTATTAATTGTTTGCTTTCTATTTTAGCATCGCTTCTTCCAACAGCATAATTCTAATACGATTGATCCCAAACAAAAGTACAATAGCAGAGTAGCTAGTTTATACAAAGATAAACTTGCATCTCTCGTGGCAAATTCGTTTAAAGTTCACGGATATGTGCTGGAGCTGCCGAGCACAGTTTCCGGATCATCATCAGCGCCAACAAAAGATGATTCTAATGAAGATAGAAGTGATTTCTTTGACCAAGAATCTTTGAAGACATTGTCACTCTCCAGCGCCGCTTCACTCAGTGCTGATGCCAACTTGAGCCAACTGAGCTCTCGGGCGTCTTCAGGGAAGACTTCCAAAGATGGACCAAGTGTTAATTTAAGTTCGGATTCTGCATCTGCTAAATTATCTGAATACAAACCAGTTCTTATAGGCAAAAAAGCTTCAACTGCAAATAGAAAGATGGTAAGTAACCTACTTTTTTCAATTTAAACAGCTGTAAAAACGTTTTATTTTTACAGTTTAGTGCCAGAGCTCAAAAGATGGCTGAATCCAAAGTTGAACAGGAAGAAATGCTGGCTAACCAAAATAGAGATAACAGCAGCAGCTCAAATACAGCAAAGCTTACTCCTGAGGAGCAGGATGAAAAGCTGAACTCGATCAAGTTGGCTTATCAAGAGAAGCAAAAGATAACTGAAAATAGATTAAAATCTACTGATCCAAACAAAGCTTCTCAAGTGGAGAGACTAGGAATGGGTTTCGTAAATATGGGCAACAATCGTGGCGCTGGCATTTCCCATTCAGCGGTCACTGACATGAAAGTGATTGAGCAAAGATCGCCCGTTACCTCATCATCGCGTATCAAGGACTACAACAATGATGCTTTTATGAATGACTTGGGATTTTCTTCATCATCTTCCAACAACAAATTCAAAGACTTGATCAAACAGAGTGACGATGATTTTTGGAGTGATAGTGGAGCAGCTTTCGATAAAAAACCTAGCAAGAAGCAGGACGTCATTGAGTCGATTGCGACTATTGATTTGCGAAAGTAAGTCGGTTTTTCTTTTGATCTACTATTACAGTAATTTTTCTTTTTCAGCTCTGGAAAGCCTCGCAATCAACCAGTGGCAAGCTCAAACTCTTCGTCTTCGAGGACAACCGACAAAGGAAAATCGTCGTCATCTGCATATTCGGAAGAGGCTCAGAAGAAGTTTGCTAATGCGAAGGGCATTTCATCGGACCAGTTTTTTGAAAACGATAAATCAAGAGTAAGTTTGGTTTAAAGTTGGTAATTTATTTAACGTTTTTAACCTTTTGGCTATAGTTTGATGACCGGAACAATCGAGGTGCTCAGAGATTTGAAGGCTCGCGGGGTATCAGCTCGGACGACTTTTTCGGCAGAACGCCCAGCGATAGCGGTGCCGGCTCCTCAACATATGGTTCCAATTTCAATTCGACCAATCTATACGATATCAAAGAGGGTGTGAAGGATAGTGTAAAAGGAATCGCCAGCAGACTGTCGAACATGGCCACTGACGTTGTGAAGAGCATCAATAAGCTCGATGTGGGCATGTCGTAGACCACTGTTGCTGTTGACTTTGTACAGCACCACTTTGTTTGTACAGCTACACCACACAACATGCCTCGATGCAATCTTTCTCTTCAATTCCACCACCACAACTACCACCACCACCACCTTTATCCCTCCCTTCCCTTCAAGTGCTATACTCCTTTCAGGTACCTGAACGATGATAATGGTTTTTCTATTTTGGATTCAACTTTTTATTATATATTTTCTATTTCTACTAGGTTATGTTTTTTCAATATACTTTTTAATAAACATGAGTCATCATGATGGGGGGATTCGTGTGATTCATTTGAACTGTCAGTCTTGACATTCAATTCAGTTGCCAATTGCCCGTTGTGGTGGTACCAAGTGCTCGAATTTACCCACAAAATAAATCAATGGAATGCAATTCGGCAGCAGGCAGATGGCACCAGCACACATACACACAGACTTCGGGGCTGATGTCCAGAGCAGAGCGATTCAAAAGGGCAATAACAAAGGCGCTGGTGTGAGTGAGAGAGAGAAGGAGCACAGGCAGCAATGACTGACGCCTGCTTATCGAATTTGGTATGGTGCAAGTATTGCCATTGTACTGCTAACCACTGCTAAATGCCCCACCACCGTACACTGCCTTGTATGCGGGTACTCTTTCTCGTGCTTTCACTCTGACAGCCTTCTCCGAGCCCTGCTGCTCCCCTACTGCTGCCTCATCACATTTCTTCTCTGTTCCTTACGGTGGCTCAATCGTACTGTCGCTGTGTGGGTTGTGTGTGCTCTGTGCTGTGTCGCACTGTCTGCGTCGATGCTAATGTTTACCGTCGACTGTGCGGCGAGTAATTTGGTGGCTATCATCGACGTAATCATCCTCATCCACCAGCACACAACTGAACGGTCATCTTTCTTCTATTAACCATTTATTTATAACTACATTTTGCCGTGTTCAAGTGCTATTATTCGGTACCTGGTCAAACAGTGATCCACAATGGCTGAACTCTTGCAACGCTTTAGTGGGAATCCATTCTCCACGCCAGTTGGCCAGAAGATCGGTGAGTTTTCGAAATTGACAATTGCCAAATGGCGGTTTGACCAGTGACTATTGAAAATTTACCGTTTGTTGCAGAGCAAGCTACCGATCCAATGCTGAATAGCGAAAACTGGGCTCTCAACATGGAAATCTGTGATCTGTAAGTAAAAAGTTTGTTTTAAAAGATAAGGAATAACAAGAAAATTGGAAGAAGAATCAATGTACTTGATTTATTGACTGTTGTTTTAAAACATTTTCAATATTTCATGTTTCCGCTGACCTGTGCTGCTGCTACTTCGACTGTTTTAGGATCAATGAGACGGATGACGGGTAAGTGGCAGGTGACAGAACTTTTTCTGCACCGTCGTCCTGCTGCATCAGCATTGCAAATAATTCCACCGGTTTTGTTTTGCTTCAGTGCTCGTGATGCTGTTCGTGCCATAAAGAAGCGTCTTCAGCAGTCTGCCAACAAGAACTTTGCAGTCTTCATGTTCACTTTGACTGTAAGTATGAGCCAGTGAAAAGCAAAAAACCATTTTTAGGTAGCTAGATCTGACTAATAGCTGCTGAATGAGTCATCGTTTATTGAATATCAGTAGTCGTTAAATGACACTGAAAGGAGAGTCCACTTGTTCGGCGAGGCGTCAGCACCAGTTGGCTGACAATCAGCCCATGACAACCGAGCACTCTCTCCCACTTGCCTCTTTCTCTCTTTCTCTTTTTCTTGTGCTTACTTGGCTTGTTTTGTCTTTTCCTCTTCCTCACTCACTCTCTTCAGGTGCTGGAAACTTGTGTGAAGAACTGCGGCAGGCGCTTTCACATGCTGGTGACCAATAAGGACTTTGTCCAGGAGATGGTCAAACTGATTGGCCCGAAAAACGACCCGCCACCCGAAGTTCAAGAGAAGGTACTTTCCCCATTACAATATTGATGTACATTTCGCCTTATAATATATTCCCCTACTATATTTTCCCCACAGGTTCTCAGTCTCATTCAAAGCTGGGCTGAAGCATTTCACGGGCAAACTGACCTGCAGGGAGTGTCAGCAGTGTACAACGAACTTCGAAGCAAAGGCGTTGAGTTTCCCAAGTCAACCGTTGAGCCGAAGGTGCCCATTCACACACCTCAGAGAAGCATTTCAGCGCATAGTTCCCAGGGGAGAAGCCAAGTGGACGGCATTGCCATTCCGGGAGCTGCCAGTGCCACTGCGGTTGGTCCTCAAGCACGGAGTATGTCGCCACCGCAACGACAAACAGCCATGCCCGCAAGTGCGGTCACTGCCGCCGCCTCCACCAGCAGTAGCCGTGGTGGGCAGGCCCCGCCGCCATCCACTGGGGCCAGTGAGATATACCCCATTCACCTCAGCCCTGAACAGCTGAACAAGCTGAAGAACGAACTGGAGGTGGTCCAGGGCAACATGAAGGTGCTCAGTGAGATGCTGACGGAGATGAAGCCCGGCGAAGAGCACCGGGACGACTGGGAGCTTCTGCTGGAGCTGTACGGCACGTGCCAGTCAATGCAGAAGCGAATTGTCGAGCTCATTGAGAAGGTGGCCAATGAGGAGGTGACCAATGAGCTGCTGAGAATCAACGACGAACTGAATAACCTCTTTATGCGATTCGAGAGGTACCAGAAGAAGAGAGCCAGTGTGGCCGGCAGTAGTGCCGCTCATCTGCAGGACATCACCATGATTGCCTCCACCTCGACGTCCAATGTGCCACCGGTGGCAGGCACTTCATCGTCGATGAATCTTCGCGGCACTGCCGTGCCCGCTGGTGCTCCGATTCCCTCCCTGATTGACTTCACCGACGATGAGCCTGACGCACTTGTTGGTGAGGTGAAAAGCCTTCAGATAGCTTCTCAGCCGGCCACACAAACAGCTGCTCACGGTGGTGACCACGAATTTGACATGTTCGCTCAGTTGCGATCTAACCCAGGTAGTTCGACAGCAGTCCCCTCAACTTCAGCTGCATCCGACCTGTTGTCACTAGATCCGGTGGCGACCGTTGCTCCCACACAGGTAACCCATTTGTTGGTTCTCACTCAATTCCTTTGTTGTAAAGCATCTTTTCCCACTGTAGAAGAATGGACCAAACGAGGACGTGAAGGAAGTGAATGAGATCGAGCAATGGCTGGGCGAAAGAGAGCAGTCCAATACGCCGAGCATGCAGTTTGAGCAGTTCTTGGCGAGAAGAGCCGATGCTCTGGACCAGCAGCCGGCAAAGAAGAGCACTTCATACAACAACCACGATTCAAGTCTCATTTAAAGTCCTTCTGCTTACCTTCGATTTGTTTGATTTTATTATTTTACTTAATATTTATTTATAGTTGCTCCTCACTGTTCATTTTCTGTTTTTTTTCTGTTTGTTTCTTAAGAAGCTTCCTTTATTCCACGCTCTCTCCGTTTGCCTTTATCCTTTTTTACTGACTGGCACCGAAATAATTTCTTATTTTTTGGCAAATGCCTTTTACTATTATTTTACATTGCTCTACCTTGCCATTGATTTCTAATAAACGCCACTAATCATTTATTATAAATAATGCTTTTAAAAATACTTTTGTAGTCTTCTTCAGTCAGTTCCATCGTTTCGTAAGACTCGATGGCAGCGGAGATCTTTGCTGCAATGAGGTGCTTGCACCAATGTATGCCATCTCTAGGACTTGCAGCTTGCGTCTTTATACAGCTGCACGTGTTTCCAGAGAAGAGGACGTAGTTGTAATCATAAGGGTCGGTTTTAGAAGAGACTTTTATATTTTGTACGCGAAATACAAAACGACCAGATGGTGTGACCATCTTCTTAACAGATTCTGGAGTAAGAGCAGGCAGGCAGGAGAATATTTTGTCAGAAAACAAACCGTAAAATCTGTAATAAAAGAATCGATTAAAATAAGAGTTGATTTTGAATCAAATTAATGTTTATTACTTTCTCATATGATCCTGGTCGACTGAGAAAAGGCGAAAACGAGATTAAATTATACGAAGTTAAAATGATTAAGCGGTGCACATACGATCTCCGTCAGCAGCCAGGTCATTCCATAGACTATCCAACACCTGAGGGGTGATGGACACCATGAGTCAATCTTGAGAAGAGAAAACCCAGGTAAACACAAATGAGCTCAGTTGCCGCCACAACTAGCCGGCTGTTTGCCGGTTAGAACAAAAATAAGGTAAGTTACGTCATTGAGTACGTCATCTGTGAATACATCCTTTTCGGCTCATTTTGCTTGAGGCTTGTTTTGTTTTGTGTTGGCTGCTTCGGATTCTGAGAAGTTATCTCTTTGCATTGTTTACTTTCTGGTTTTGGGCCTCTTTGGAGGTCTTTCTGTCAGCTGTTTTCCCTTCATTTTCGTCTATCAACGCCACCGACTGCCACCATGAATCACAACTACAATGCAGAAAACCTCTACCTGGCGTTGGTTTCAATGGCCGAGGAATTCCGAACCCAGAATCCACCCGATATTCGCAACTGCGTCCACTGTCTCTACGGGGTACTCAATCTACAAGTTCCCTATCCGGCGATTGAGGCGAAAACGAATCTACAAATTGGATCTCTACTAATCGAGTATTCCAGCAACATGGAAAAGGCCAAAGGACATCTGAAGCATGCGGTACGTATTCATCTTTTTTCACGATTTACCTGAATTAATTACTTTTGATTTTCATCGCACTAAATAGTACTGCCTCACTCAATCATTGCCAAATTGCGAAGAAATTAAATTTGAGTCAATATCTTTGCTCGCGCGAGTTTACGAAAAGATGGTTCGTTTGTTGTTTTTTAAAAAATTGGTTTTGACGTTATTTTATTCAGAATGATACCGCCACAGCAAAAGAAATTCTAAGAAAAGTAGTCGAAGAATCTCGCCATGTAGTTTACTGGCACATCAAAATTTTATTTCAATTAGCAGTAAGTATTTATTTTATCCAACTTATGATTTTACTTATAAAATTATTTTTTCGCAATAGCAAATACACGCCAATGACCACGAATATTCAGAATCTGCAAACGTACTAAACGTTGGAGCAGATTACGCCAATGTTTCCGGTGCCCACTACACGAGAATTTTATTTTTGCTCAGCCGAGGGATGATGCTAATGATAGACAAACGAATAAATGAAGTTCATCCCGTGCTGACGCTGGCTGGCCAGCTGGTTGAAACATGGCCGGGCAATGTTCATTTAAAGGAAGCACTTAAAGTGTTTTTCCTAGTTCTTCAAGTTTGCCATCACTTAAATGCCGGCCAAGTTAAAAGTGTGCGCCCCTGTTTAAAATTGCTGCAGCAAAGCATTCAAAATATCACTGCTACCTCATACCATATGGACGATGGTTTGTAATTCGACGCTCGCTTTCTGAACATCTTTTATCACTTTTTTTTATTTTCAGAGTACATGGGTCTTAGTCCCAATGATATGTTCATCTGGATGCCCAAAGAGCACATGTGTGTGCTGGTGTACCTTGTCACCGTCCTCCACTCTATGCAGTCTGGCTATATGGAGAAAGCGCAGAAGTACACCGAAAAGGCTCTGATGCAAATTGACAAGCTAAAAGGTACAAATTGGCATTTAAAGGTGAAAAATTTGAATAACAAAATGCACATTTTTTTATTATAAATCAGCCTCGGGAAGCGCAAACATGATGGGCACCTTTCAGTTAATACTCCTCGAACACATCGCCATGTGTCACCTGGTGACTGGCAACCGATCAACTGCTATCAAAGAGACCGTACAGGCGCTGAACATTTGCTATCGCGATCCTAAACTAAAGTACCGACACAAACCACTGATTCACGCGCTTTTGGGAATGTATGCCATGTCAATGAACATTACAGATTCCGCTGAAAACCAGCTGGCAATGTCTTTGAGTGTAAGTACTTTTGAAGAACAGGTAAAAAGTGGTTTTAAATTATTAACATTCATCTTACTTTAGTTACCCGGTGGCTCACATGAGCTGAGAATTCTCACTAGTCTCAACCTGGCAATTGTCTACATTCGAAACAAGCGTGAGAAAGAGCTACATGAGTTGCTGACAAAATTGAACCCCGAGACGTTACATTCTGCGTAAGTGCAAGGGCATTTATTAGAGTCTGATAATGTTTTGAATATTCCTTGTTATTATTACATTATTTTGTTTCTGCAGATCGCAAAGTTTAAAAGCAGCCGCCTATTATGTTTTTGGGCTAAATTCCTACTTCCAGGCACGCTACAATGACGCAAAGTATGTACACCGTACTAATCCTCCAAAACCCTAATCGCCCATTCATCTTGATTGATTGTTTTCATTTTCTAGACGGTACTTGCGCGAGACGTTGAAAATGGCCAACGGTGAAGACTTGAACCGCCTAACATCGTGTTCGCTTGTTTTGCTGGGCCATATCTTCTACTCACTTGGCAACGGGTAGGTGGCTTCTTGTTTGTTTGTTTTACTTTGCTTCAGATGAAATCTCTGCGACGACACTTTAACACTCACCATGTTTCTTCCGTGTCTTTGGCAGGCGTGAAAGTATGAACATGGTAACTCCCGCAATGCAGCTTGCAAGCAAAATTCCGGACACACAAGTGCAACTTTGGGCGACAGCCCTTTTGAAAGGTACGTCATTTGACATTGTTGTTATTAGCCTGGTGCTTCCTTTTTGATGGCGTGACAACTTGTTTTTCTCTTCCGCACTAGATCTCTACGGTTCAACTCATCCTCGACAGCAAGAGGCCATTCAGATGCATAATCAGTTTACGCAAGTTCTCTTAGCGGATCAGTATCAGGCGCTGGCGGCGCCGGAACACGGTTACATTAATGTAAGTGACGTACTTGAGCCGGTCTATGTGCAATTTACTAATTTGTGGATCATTTTTAAATAGTGGTACGACAACCAAAATGTATAAAGGAAAAAGACGACTGTTTGAAGCAATCGTCAGACGATGAGACCCAGTATTATGTACTCTGTATTCTCTTCTTTAGATTTTCTAGATCTTATTCTCTACTATCTCTTTCCACTTTCCGTATTTTTCTTCGCCACTGACATCACCAAAAAATCACCATAAAAACTTCACATCATCAACTTTTGCCCTTAATTTTGTACCAAGTTAATCATTTTGCCCTAATTTGGTATGGTGATAGATGCAACAATGTGGGAATATGAAAATGGGAAAAAATTGCCAAAGTGAGAAGAAGAATCTCTGCCACTGGAGAAATCTGTCACCATGCGACTGCGGGTAATGCTGCTGCTACTGTCAGCTTGCTGATGGCACGTTCCACTGCGATGTCAATCAATAATTCATTATCGATCTCATTTGGGGTGACCAGTGCTGGTGACCAATTGCTTTTTCTAACTTTTACTAATGAATCAACGAGCCACCACCACCGCCACCACCATCATAGGGCATTAGCATTCATTTGCAGCAATGTGAGATAGTGAATGAGAGAGAGAGCAGTCGCTGACGGTGCCAGAGACCCACAGCACTGAAGGCCCCTTATTAATACTATTAATGTCATCTAAATGTGCTGGCGGAGCTGTTGATGGTCTGCTGGTGGCAGCGCGGGCAACGGCAATGCTGCTGCTGATGGTGACGGCGGCGGCGGCGGCGGCGGCGGCGGTTCTGTTGGTTCTCCTGGTCACAATGTGATTAATCCGGCAAATATTGACTCATCTTCTTTTGATGTGAAGGCGACCGTCTTGCCGCTGGACAAAAGAGTGTCTGCAACTCTAAAAGCCGCCGTGAATGGTGTGAGCGGTAATCGGCAGTTGAGCGACTACAATTGCCGACTGCTATTTGTGACAGATGAAAAAGCGTCGATTTGTAAGGAAATGCGAAGCGCATGATAGATGAACTCAACTCGGTGTTCAACGGCCACTGAGCAAAAAGTGTGGCAGTAGAGCACTGTGTTGGTACGCGATCATTGTGGTGGTGCTGCTGCTGGTGGTGGTGGTGGTGGCTGACCAAACGGGTAAAGTGTACAACGACGGCCAGTGGACGACAGACGGTTCTATATAGAAGGAGGGAGAGAGAAAGACGGAAGAGCGCCTAACTGACGCCTGCTGGTCTCCACGGACGACTCGACGCGGACGTCATCGGGCGCAATGAGAGAGAGAGAGAGAGACTGAAACGGAAAGTGAGAGAAGGGGGGAGGGAGGAGGAATGAGTGAGAGAGATCTCAGATCTGCCCTTCTGCTTTGGGACAGTATTGAGCAGAGTGCAATTTTAGGTGCACCAGAGTTTGTCTCTCTCTCTCTCACTTGGTCTGCAAGACAAGGTGTGAGACCTCATCGGCAGATG